ATATTACAGTATACTAATAAAGTACAGTGTGTACTGATGTTACTATGTCTGCTATCAACATATTGTTACAGAACAGCTATTGGTCCTATATCACATTGATATACTCCCATCTTCAGCCAGGTAATGGTCTTGCTAATTAAAGGATCACAAACTTCTTGGAAGGTTACCAAATTGCTGTTCTAAAACCTCTCTGAAAGACTTTTTGGGAATAATGCCTCGTTTGATACCTCTCGTGATTACCGTGTTCACAGGGTCAATGCAGTTAATTTCCGTTCGATAGTGGGTTTTAGCTCGTGAAAATGGAGAAAAAATATCGACACCCATTTTCACAACTTCTCCGACCTTCACCTCGACCCCGACAACTTTCATTTTGGTCAGGTTAATCTTTTATTTAAAGTCTTCTGACAATTTTTTTTTACTGTCGTCATGACATAAATACCACTAAATGTTAATAAATAGCTTGGAAATGGAATATAAAATATATCAATACCGCTAACATAATTTTGTCAAATATTTTAGTTATGAAGTTATGAATATTGTCCGAACAGTCTCAACTTTAGCGCAGGATTTCTGGACTTCAAAAAAGTTGTAAACACTATTTTCACGAGAGGTATCGAATGGGGCATAACATTACATAGGCCTGCTATTGAAAAATTTACTTTTCCAAATATTACAGTTATTAAGTTATAAATTAATATATATTGAAACTTTAAAGATAAAATGTTAATTTTATCTCTTTAACCCATATTGTGATAATATCATATTGTGACCCTTGTATCATGACACATATCGTATCGTGGCATGATTGGATGTATCTAGCACTAATAATTACCATAAATCTTTCTTTCCACATACAATAATAAAAGAAACAACTGGAGTATTGTGAAAATCTAGTTCCAAAGACTGTAAATATACACCACTATGACACCTGCCAATTATATTTCACTGCTTAATAAAAGTTGCTTGCCTTGGAATTGTTTCAGATCTTTTTCAATACATTTTTTTTTTTCAGTGGAAGCATGGAAGCCAGAATTAATTTTACTTTTATTTTGAGTCTTATTGGTGAATGTGTTCTGTATTGGAAGAGAAAGGAATCTACCCAAAAAGAACAATTAATGACAAATCTAAAGAAAATACAAACTATATGGATAACTGTGATGGTGTTGATACTAAGAACACCTAATATCACTCTAGTTGGTCTACTAGTTGTATCTGAAAAACTCATTAGTGATTATATCTTACCACAAGTCAAATTAAACTTACCTTTCTTGACAATTTATTGTTATTGGATGGGGCAGTCTTCCTTTTTTTATCAGGTAAATTTTTGCTTTATAATTTTTTCTAATCTTTTATTCCTTTGAAGCTGGGTTAAGACCTTGACAAATTAGTACAATGACATGGCATAATCTGTAGTAAGAGATCTGGAGACTTGCCTGTTGGCTACAAATATCTGTTCAAATTCCTGCAGTGCAAAAAAGTTTTGACGCATTATGAATTGGTCAAGTGCTAAACAGTTCCATAATTCTGCAGTGTTTCCCTTTAGCAGTTAATCCCCTTATTAAAGACTGAAGTAATATATCGTGGGTGACTGCTTGAAACCTCGTATATGCCATATTTGGTCATTTTGACTTTTTGGTACCATTCGAAAGCTCGTAAAAGCACAGATCTTGTGATCAAAACGTCGTATTATTAGCTTGATTGTAAATAACTCAAAAAGCACTAATTAAATAACAAGTATATAAACAGTCAGATTTAAAACCTCCTAAAATATATTATTATACGAGGTTCAATGTCCCTTTTCTGAGGATGAAAATGAAAAACCTCGTATACTGTATTATTAGACGAGTTTTTGGTTCAATAGGCCGGAGATTTCAAATTGTTATACAAGGTTTATATTTTCCAAGAATGAAAACCACGTATAGCGGTAAAAAAAATAATCAAAAAGATTTTAACAAAATACGTGTACAAATAGTTTTTTGCGTTTTTCTCGAAAAGTAATTCCGCGTCATGAATCTTTATTCGAGGTTTCAGACGGTCACCCACGATATCACATGATTTTCAAACCACTTTCAAACCATAAAAACTTTGTATATTGGTTTGTTTTGTAATTATGAACACACAACCCCTCTTGTATGAAATAAGGGTTGTTTTGATGTGTTGAAATATACCATTTTATACTCTATTTGTATCTTATAGCTATTTGGATTAAATGAACAATTTATTGATAAGGGATCATGTCATAAAGACAGAAAATCCTCTCCATATAACCTCTTATTCAGAGGATTTTTTACCTTTAATACTTATGTCAGTGATTGTGTTTTACTTGCAGGGTAATTCCAATTCTCTATCAACAATAGATGTTTCAGCTGGATATATTGGACTAGAGAGTTATCAACCAGTCTTTACTGCTATACTAATGATCTGTTCAACATACAGTTGTCTCACTTTCTGGTTTATAACATTAGTTAAACATATTGTTATAGATACTCAGTAAGTGTTAGTTATAACATTAGTTAAACATATCAATATAGATACTCATTAAGTGTTAGCTTATAACATTAGTTAAACATATCAAAATAGAAACTCAGTAAGTCTTAGTTTATAACATTAGTTAAACATTTCAATATAAACACTCAGTTAGTGTTAATTTATAACCTGAATTTAAACATATTATAATATATACTCAGTAAGTATTAGTTTATAACATAATTCAACATATCGATATGCATATTCAGTAATTGTTTGTTTATAACCAATTCTCAACATATAACAAAAAGAATATATTTACTTTAAATTCCAGTTGTAAGGAAAAGATGTTTGAAGCAGGTGTGATCTTGATGTGTATAAAAACTTTACCAATAACCATCTACACTTTACTTGTGACTGTTCAAAGATACCATTTATTTGTTTGGACTGTATTTTCACCCAAAGTACTATATGAAGGTGCTCTGTTAGTATTAGTATCAGTGATATCAGTGTTATTAGTGACTACCTCAGTGTTTTTACCAATATGTAAAATAAAATCATGATATTTGGTGGTTAGTTTTTTGTAGGGTCTATTTGCATTTAAAGGGACAGATTCGCCATTTTGGGGGGTTGGTTTTGTTCTTGAATATATGTAAGTAGTTTCAGATGTACTAGTAATATACAGAGATCGCATAATTCTTTCAAAAATATCCCAAACTAGGAATTTCTCTTTTTATTCCTATATATGTTTTTCCTATATACTGCAGAGTCTCAAGAAAAGACGAGTCGTCATTTTATCATTTAAACGCAGATAATTCTGGACACACATGGATTTGAAGGCTCAAATTTCAACAGTGAGCTGTGAACACTATTAGTGATTAGCTTAGCCAAAACAAAGTCCTGTTTCTGAGATTATGGTACGACTGATCAAACAAATGGTGAACCTGTCCCTTTAAAGGGATATTCAAGTTGACCCAATTTTACCAACAACTTAATTACAACTTCTGAAAAGAGTTATGTATTTTGTAAAATAAAACCCTTAATTGTAAAAGATACCTAGTGAACAATTTTGACAATAAAACCCTTCCATACAAATCATGAAAGAGATTATTTATTCAGAGACTGTCACAGTTTTTCTGTACTTTTGCTTGTAAATTGGTCGGTGCCTAAAATGTTTAAAGTTGCTCACGAGAATTGTTCCATCTAAATGTCAATACATAACAAGATGCAAAGTTACTTCTCAACTTTTTCTTCAAAACTTTGTTTCCAAAGTTCCCCACCTAGGCTATATAAAAGTAATGTTATGTTATAGCTTCGTTATCAGATCAAATACCTAATTAGATGAAAGTCTTCTTATGGGACAGGGCCTTTAACTTTCTTGGCACAAATGGTGCCCCATACTCAATAAGGCTATTTATAGCAATGTGATGTATGACCCGGAAGTAAACAGCGGTTGAAGCGGCGTGGACCAATCACCAGACGACAGCACATGTACCTTCAGCTCGCCACGTTAGGTTGATAGTGCTTTAATTCCCTCATTTTGCCGGTCAGTCGGTGATCATTATTTAGAGATGAAGTCCTTGGTGTTTTTAATATCTGTATTTGTCGCTTCAATTGCGGCGGATGATGTTTTGGTCTTTACCGATTCCGATTTTAGTACGAAAGCCAGTGAACACGACTTAGCTTTGATTGAATTTTATGCACCTTGGTAAGTAAAACTAAAAACAGTGAAGTTACTGCGTATGTATTGTCATAAAAAGGAAGTTTAGCAAAGAGTGGTTTAGATTAAACCTATGATTAGTAAGAACTGTTGTTGAATGATGAATTATAACGCAATTTCATTCTTATTCAGGTGTGGACATTGCAAAAAATTGGCCCCAGAATATGAAAAAGCAGCTTCAACTTTAAAATCTAATGATCCTCCTGTAGCATTAGCTAAGGTAAAACATTGATTCTACTGGTAGTCTATTGTACTCAATTGTAATGGCTAAACTTTCTTCTCATCTTTCCTTTCTTTTTTGATCACCACAATGAAATTCTATATTTAGTTGCATTAAAAATTATTTATTTGTTGACCATAAGAGTCATACAAGTACATTATGATATTTTTATTTTTGTTTTTCGGCATGTGATAGCACATAATGTTATTTCGGTACGGTACTTTAAATTCCATAATTTGGAATTGAGTTATATACATGGTTTAAATTTTTTCCTTAGACTAATGGAATTATTAGGATTCTCATAAACATGTCAAAATTTAATTGTTTTGATTTGTTGTAGCCGACAAAGAGTAAAAAAGTGCATTTTGGATCTCGTTTGTCTACGTGGCTAAGTGGAGAATCTCTATCTGTTTTCCATCAATCGATATTATTGTGATGTTAGCTTGATTTCTTTTTATGATTATGTGAGGACTGAACAAGCTGTGAAGAAAAAATTTTCATACAGTATTAAACAGCAATGGCAACAGCTGAATTTTTGGGATGTCAACACCTGTTTACATAAATTAAATTTGAGTTGCAATAACACAATATTCTGACTGTTTAAAAAGTGTTTAATACATAATGTATATTTTTTGAGTTGTAACAGTTAATAAATTTTTTCACTGATAGTTTAAAATCGGATCTTGTTGCTAATATCTGTTTATATCTAAGACCACTATCTTCATTGCAGGTTGATTGTACAGTAGAAAAAGACGTCTGCTCAAAATATGGCGTCTCTGGTTACCCAACTTTGAAAATTTTCCGCAATGGAGAATTTAGTGAAGATTATAATGGACCAAGAGAGGCTGGTAAGTTCCTTCTATCTGAAGGATTATTTTAAGGCAAATGAGGCCTTTCAGATTCTTCAACTTATATTTTTATTTTAACTTTATGTAGTTAGGAGAGACCGTAGGCCTAAGCTGCTTGCCTTTTGTATACCAGTATCCTTTGAATGATTGATATCAAAAAAGAATAGCTGAATGTGAACGAGTCCTTACAAAATGTCCTCCACTGAGCATGGCATTACACTATGCATTGTTAAACAGCTCACAGCTGAATATTTATTGATTTGTTTTAAAGGTGGTATTGTTAAGTTGATGAAATCTAAGGCTGGTCCTACCTCAACATTATTGGAAACATTAGAACAAGCTGAGAAGATAGCTAAATCTAGTGAATATGCTGCTATCGGTAAGTTTGAAAATGGGTCTTTTTTCGCCTATTATTTTGCTGCACATGATAGTGGTTCAGATCCTGCTCATGTTTGTCATTGGTGTGCAGAGGAAATTCTTATCTGATTGCAATAAATTAACATTCTGAAATTAATTCAATACCTTTGATGTAACTCTATTGTTTCTCAAGACCTTGTTTTGGTTGAATTGTACCCAAAATAGTAAGCACAATAGTGATGTCATTATAAGGTTGAGAGTTGCTGATAGACCTATAAGAACTAGGAAATCATATATGAATCCTTCACTTTCTGCTCTTTAATTGCAGGTTTTTTCAAGTCACTTGACAGTGAATTAGGTAAAACATTCCAAAAAGTTGCTGATGCTATCAGTGGTGATCTAAAATTTGCCCATACAGAAAATGCAGATATAATGAAAAAATTTGGATTTAAAGAGTAAGTAGAAAGGCAATTTTTTTAGGCTAATGTGATACTATGATGTCCAAATGCTACAATTTTTCCATGGGCTCAGCATGTTTTTAGTTTCCCTTTGTCAGTATTGCAGGTCGGAGGAGCTGATATGAAAAGGTTAAAGATCCCTTGACACCTTGAAATCGAAAAAAAGAGTAGGCTTTTTTTGACAAAAATTGCCCTAACAACACACTTTACTATCTTCATTAAGAAGAAGAGAGATATTTTTGATTGTTTGATTTCGTTTGTTAATTGTTGTTTTACTGACTCTTTGCAGTAAAATTGTGTTGTTCCGTCCCAAGAAATTCCAGAGTAAATTTGAAGACCATCAACTGGAGTATAAAGATGATTCTAAATTACATACATTGAAAAACTGGGTTCAAGAAAATATGTAAGTTTAGAGTTCTAATACAAAACTTGCTTCATCCTTCTGAAAGTGTTCATTGCTTAATTGCTTGATATAAGCTTATATATCTAGCAATTCTCTGCTGTTTCTGTGAAGCTAAATGTGTCTCTGCAATGAATAGTCAATCCATTTCTAGTTAAGATTTTGTTTTTTTTGGCTTTGTTTACAAACATTTGTAGTTCCAAACGACCAGACACTAATGTTTGAACTATCATGTGAATCATGGACATAGTATAGGAAAATAATGGCTACCATTCAATTGCAGAGTGCAGACCATATGAATATTATGTTTATGGATTCTGATCAATTATTGCTTATACATGGTTAATGTAATATGTAAACTGAACTATTTGAAGTTTTGATTACAGAATTTATGAATTATTTCAGTCTAGGTTTATGTAGTCACAGAACACCAGACAATGCTGACAAATTAAAGAAACCATTATTTGTAGCTTATTATGATGTAGATTATGTTAAAAATGAAAAGGGTACCAATTACTGGAGAAACAGGTATGTTGTTTTTGCTGTTTTCTTTATCAAATTGTAATGTCTTTGTGACACATTTTATCAAAGCTTATAGAATTTTACTATTGGTGTCCCTGCACTGAAATTAGTTATTTTTACTGTGGTATATTTTTAAATAGGGAAAATGGTCAACTATGTAAAAAAAAACATTTCATTTTTTCAGCCCAATGCTGAGCTTTTTATCAACCATGTTATGAGTTAATGTTAATTAGTATTAAATATATGCTCATCAACTATATTGTTATTCATATAAATTTCAGAGTAATGAAAGTTGGTAAGAAGTTACGAGATGCTGGTAAAAATCTGTATTTTGGTGTCAGTAATAGTGGTGAATTCGCACATGAAATGAGTGAATGTGGTCTGAACTCGCAAGGTGATAAACCTAAAGTTTGTGCCTGGGATAGCAGAGATAGAAAATTTGCTATGAGTGAAGAATTCAGGTAAGTTATCAGTATATGTCTAGTGTGGTCATGGTAATTTGTATTGCTGTATTACTAGATAAGGCATACAGATTCCAAAATGTATGTCTTAAATGTGTCATAAACATTTATATTTATTAGTTATTTACAGTAAGATTAAAAAAGCACACTATTGAATTACTGTGGAAATTTAAATTGGGAGTATGACTAGATTATCCATTGGCTGTAAACCCTTTAACTCTGAGTTGGAATACTAAATGGATATTTCAAAATTCATAGTTTCCATAGTATTTATACCAAGTAAATTAGTACATACTTCCACTTTTACATGCTAAACATTCCAAGGACATATCAATGATGACCAATACCTCAGTGATATATAATGATACTTGATCGATAGGACTGAGATATGTCTGTTTTTATCTGAATTTGTTCCTACCTGTGTGATAAACCCAGTCAGTAATGCAGTGAGAGGGAAAGAGTGTCCACAGTATTTGACTATTATCACTATTTGCTCCTGGCAAGATCCCATGATGTTCAGAACTTAAGTCATTGCTTTCATTGAAGGATAAAACTCCATTCCATTTCTTTGTTGTAAACAGACATATCAAGGATGACCAATACCTCAGTGATATAGAATGATTCTTGATCGATAGGACTGAGATATGTCTGTTTTGTCAGAATTATAGAATGACATTGAAAAAGCCGAATTCAATACTGTTATCATATGCTCTACAGTAAGTTATAAGACTATTGATTGATATTTCAGTATGGAAACATTTGAAAAGTTTATCAATGATGTGTTAGAAGGTAAACTAGAACCCTATTTAAAATCAGAACCTATTCCTGACAATACTGATGTTCCTGTCAAGGTAAGTTATTCCTTTGTCTGTTGGAACTCAAGATAATCATGGGTTGAATGTGGATGCTCTTTAATTGGTCTGGATCATGTTGAATACTGCTTTAACCACATAATGTTATATGCTTGATTGCATTAGCATCTTTGCACTATGAAAGGGTTTCCGTGCCAATAGTATTTCCAAATAAACCTTTTTAAACCATGAGATTTCAACAACACATCAATCATACGCAGTTATGATATAGGGGCTACATATATCATATGAGAGTTGAAATGCGATCCTTAAAAATTAAAAAAATCCAGAAATCAAAATTGTATCTGCCAAACCCTTCCATATCTTCAAACTCGAATTTTAGAAATAATAACGTTAATGATTATTGTTTTATGTATTGTAGACTGTAGTAGCCAAAAATTTTGAAGAAATAGTTAATGATGAAAATAAAGATGTTTTAATAGAATTTTATGCACCATGGTGTGGACACTGTAAGAGTTTAGCACCTAAATATGAAGAATTAGCTGAAGCGGTAATTGTTTTAATCTCATTTATTTATAAAATATCTCTGTAAAAGAAAATGTGCCAGCATTAATATCAGGACAAATAATGATGTGAAGTGAACATAGATAACATTGTCTATTCTTTGCTTTGCAAAAATATTTTGGGCATTGTGATGTATATGGCAAGGCACTTTAGGTGGTCTGGTCAGTATCTTTGAAGGCCTTGAAGTATTAATTCTCTGTCTTCCCACTGGCATGGCTCTCTCAAGTTAAAGTCCAGATTTAAGACAGACATGTCCAGGATGACCAATACCTCAGTGATATCTAATGATACTTGATCGATAGGACTGAGATGTGTCTGTTTTTATTTGGGATTGTTTATGTAGATGATTGCCAGGCATTTTACCTGACTGTACTATAAACCCAGATGCACTCTGTCAGTGATAGGATGTCTGCTGTCTGCTACTGCCAAGATCCCACGGCAGTTTGTAATTTAGTCAAAACACTCAATGAAGGGTGTAATACAGACATATCAAGGATGACCAAAACCTCAGTGATATAGAATGATTCTTGATCGATAGGACTGAGATATGTCTGTTTGATGTTTGCTTCTTGTGAGGTCACGTTTATTTGACCTTTGGTTTGAATTTATCATTGTGTCTTTGTAGTTGAAAGATGAGAAAGAAATTACCATAGCTAAAATGGATGCTACAGCTAATGATGTCAGTAAACCTTATGATGTAACTGGGTATGTACTTGTGGTTAATTTAAATAATTCAAATTAAACAGTGTCTTCTTACTGTCTGGTCTTTTGTACTGGACAATAAATGCTACAGACTGTGCATGTTAAAGATTCTTGGTCAGTTGATCAATATAAAGAAAAGGCTAATGCCAAATGATTTCCCTCTTTGCACACTGCATGGTGTTTCCTGTCTTTAGCCCAATAAGGTACAGAAAAGTAGGATGTAAAACTCCATTCATATTCATTTTGTAAGTGATGGATTAAAATTTTCATTGTTATGCCAGATTTTTTAATATCTTGTAAATATGTTCATTTCAGATTCCCAACTCTGTATTTTGTTCCTAAAGACAAGAAAGATAACCCAGTAAAATATAACGTAAGTTGAAACATGTATTATTGAGTCTTTTCACTGACAGTCTGATAGTCTGAACAGAAAGACTAATGAATGCATCAAGGATGACCAATACCTCATTGAAAACTAATGATTCTTGATCGATAGGACTGAGGTGCATTCTCCAATTCTGAATCTCGGCAAAATCTGTCGTTGATAACCTGTGGAACCAAAAAATTCCTTAAACATTTTCAACACATATTCTTAAATAGTAAGAATGCCGTGCCTCTTAGTATTACCCAAATCATAGCAGCCTTCATGGGAAAAGCAATTGACATTCGGATGGGACTAAAGGCTACAGGCTGTGCATGATAAAGATCCCTTGAATGTTTGAGTAGGGCAATACGTAGGTTTAAAAAAAAATATCTCCTTGCACACTGCTGAGATTCTATAGTACAGTCTGAGTGTTGGTTTTAACTTAACGTCATTTGCTTGGTTACATAGAGCAAACGGCGGCTGTGGGTTCCGATCTCGATCAGCATGTGAAAGTCTGGACTCATAATTCAAGTCAACCCAGCTGTAAATGAGAATGATCAATGCTAGGAGTTTTGGCCAAGGACCAACTGGTTGAAAGGATCCTTAACTGCGAACTTAAGTTGTTATCCTTGTAAAATATACTTGTTTCTTTTCTTTTTGAAGTTACCAGTATTCATTACCCCAATTGAAAACAGAATAATCTAAGAAAAATTGTTTCATTAATGATTGTAAATATTGTATTTGTAGGGTGGTCGTGAAGTCGGTGATTTTATTAAATATTTAGCTAAAGAAGCTACCAATGAACTGTCAGGTTATAAAAGAAACGGCAAAAAGAAGAAGACTGAACTTTAAAAATCTTCCAATGAAACTTCATTATTTCATTTCATAAATTATCATCCTCCATTTATACTTAGTTTTCATCCTTTTTTTTTTAAAGTTAGATTTCACTTCTTTCAACCTCTACCAGTGCTTTTCAGTGACAATAGTTTGGTGTAAGGTCTGTTGTTGGCTTCAGGTTTACAACATTATGCAAATATGGTCCTCCAGAAATTGGTTTGAATTCATTTCTTACATGAGTCATTTTTGTGCTGTTTTGTTAAGACATTTACTTACCACTTTGAATTTGTACTTACTTTGTTTAAGCATTCTTTCTGTTTCTTGTTATGTTGCATGAGAAAATCTGAGTTCTGAGCATTTGCTTTTGCATTTACTGTTTCTTAGGAAAATTTTGGCAATATTGAGAAATCATGTATCCATTCTTTCCTTAGAAGACTTGTGTGTATTTTGTCAGCTGATTTTTTTTTTTTTTGGATTATAATCAGTCTTGCTCTAGCCATGCGGAACTCCTATAATGTTTTTGGCCACAGAAATTTAAGACGCAAGTACATCATCATTCATATATTTTGTGGTTGAAAAGGAATTTGCTCCCATGTGTCTGAAATAGTAAACTGAAAGTACAAAAATTCTGTTACGCTCAGCATGATTTTTAAATGCCTCCATTAATGATCAACACATCTTCCATAATATATTGTTAAAATTTCTTGATTGTACTATCTCACTACAATGATGTATATGTTATTTATTATAGAAAATTTGATATAAAATTGTACTATAGGATTATATCATTGTGAATATTTATCATTTTGAGAGAGAATGTTCCTTTGTCAAAAGGGTACAAGAATAAAAAACTTACAAAATTATACTATGTTTTGTTTATCAGATAAGATTTTGTGTAAAGATCTGTTGGGGAAACATGCAGATTTGGACAAAGTCCTAGATTTTGCAAGAGGTGTTCGCAGGGGGCTCTTTCAGCAATATTACTGTCTATATCAAGCATTGGCAAATTAATTATGTTGTAAACAGCAGCCTGATAAAGATATTTATGCACTTTGGGTGAAGCCAAGACCACTTCATTTTTAAAGGCATACTTCCTCCTAGAATGGACATGAAACTTTGTCAATGATGATGGACTTACAAGATGCAATAACTAAAAAATAAAATTTCTATATTACACGATTTATCAATTACGCTTCTAAGAATGATTCAAAATTACTCAGTTTAATGAATTATTACTTAGTTTTATTGGATTATACAGGGATTCTTTTGTATAGTTATGTCCACTGATGAACAAAGACTCATTTTGGCCAAGTTTAAACATTTTTTTGGTCATCCTAAGAGGTAGTATACCTTAAAGTTTCTTTAAGTGCTACATATTGTACACATTTTATAAGAAAAAAAAACGTTGCCTGATTTAAATAATATTTCACATGACTACCACTGGTTATTTCACAAGGGGTACAAAAAATATAATTTATACATTAATATAACAAATAATTTTAAAAACTTTGAAACAAATTCAGATATTTATGCATACGTTAAAACTTTAGTAGCAATTAACAACTTTTCAACACAATCAACATATTGGAAGTCTGTTTTCTCTAATCTGGCTTTGCCTTCATCTGACAAAAAGATCTTTGTTAAATGATACAAATTTGATTGGAATTCAATATCTTCTGCAAGTTCATCTGAAAAATTTTCACTAATTTCACTCACTTTCAATTTCATAGCCCTAGTTTTTGTGCTTTTGAAAACAGACCAATCTTCTTCCAACAGAGATTCATCATTCAATGATTCACTTCCAAGATAAATAATGGCTCTCTTATCTGCTTCAGAATTCCACTTGGACCACGAATAAGCCATGGAAGATGAAGTAAGTGCAATTTGTTGATAAATTCTTTCTTCTAAAAGAGTATCCTTATTTTGGACGTTGACAAATTTGGAGGAATCTTCAGCGGGGAAGATGTCGATACCTGTTCGTTTTAAAGTTTTGATTAACTCTTCAGGCTTCATCCATTTCTCAATAAGAGGTTGAAGCTCTATTTTATCAGTTGGTTGAATAACACAGCATAAATTGTCTTTAATTTCAATTTGAATGTCAATAACAGCAGCAATTATAGTAAAAATAGCGTTGTTTATCCCCCTGGGGCGAATTTCCCAGGACTGGAAAGGCATGTTAATGTGGGCGTCTTGAAAGAGTGCAAGCTTTCCAAAATAGCTGGTCTTGAATTGAACTATTCTTTTCTCTTCATCAAATTTGACGTCTGTGAAACCATCTTGACGCCAGTGTTGAATATCTTCATCCCAGCGTCCTGGTAATGGTTCATCTACAAACATGGAATCTTCAGGCAGCTTATAAATAATACTAATAGGTGGTCGTTCTTCTCTTTTCTTCTCTTCCTGTCCTTCTTTCACCTCTTTCTGTATGAGTGATAAATTGGCGTTATCAGCAATGTATGGTATGTGACGAACTTCATGTGGGCTGATTTGTGCAGTTATTGTCCATGTATTAACTTGTTTAGGTTGAGGAGGCAGCTCAATCAAATCAAAAGAGATGACACCACCAACAATGTGGTAGGCTCTAAGATCAATGATGTCATCATCTTCATCAAAATCTTCCCATTCAGCTGGTTCAGGTGTTGATGGATCTTCGAAGTCATCTTCCTCTTCAACAACTACTTCTTCTGTCTTGTTTTCTTCTGGTTCTTTTTCCTCATCTTCATCTTCCAAATTATTTAAAGTTGCCATCAGATCTTCCTTTTCCTCTTTCTCAACATTTTCACTCACTGCTTCTTCGGATGGTTCTCCTTCTTCCTTTTTAGTCTCTTCCTCTTCATCCTTAGGTTCTGGTGCTTCCTCAGGCTCTTCAATGACTTTCTTCTTTTGTTTTGGATACAAAGCTTTACTTTTAAAGGAAAGATGATCATATTTAGTGAACATCACACGGATGGCACAGTCTGTCAGTGCAAGAACTTTTGGTATGTCAAAGGTGAAGCCCTTTTCCACAAATTCAAACGGTTTTATTCTTTTTTTGCTTAAATTTCCCCACACGCACAGGTAGATATTTTCAGATTTGACAGTGTATTGAAGGTTATAAGTTTCATTATCTTGTAATTCTGTGGCCTTACACAAAATATCAAGTGTCACATCATTTAATTTCGTACTCATCAATTTCTGCAAATCAGTAATGGCTTCCTTATAATTAGCTACATTTGATTCTGTTAAATCTTGTGGGTGAGCTAACCAGAAATCAAGTTCTTCAATCAATTTGTTATCCAGTTCTACCAGTTGTAGTGCCTCACTCGAACTAACTTTGTCCATATTTTCCAGACGTAAATTAATGTAAGTGTTTATTTCACCTGGAACAGTGGGGTCAGGAGAACCATCACATTTCATGTATCTAGCCCACTTCATATCTTTCAGTTTCTTTGTAGACATTTCCTGTAGAGCATTTTTATTAGCGTCCAATATCTCAAATAGTTCATTCATTTGTACCTTTCGATGCTTCTTTTCTTCTTTCTCTATTTTTTTTCTTTCTTCTGCCTGCAACATCTCCATCTCTTTATGTTTCTTCTCTTCCTCCACTGCTTTTCTTTGAGCCTCTTCTTCTTCCTGAGCTTTTCTTTCTGCCTCTTCCTTCTTCATTTTTTCTTTCTCTGCCTTAGAAAGCTTCTTCTTACCTCCATCATTTTTCGGCGGCATGACTGTCTAATAAATATTAATATTGTTTGTGAAAATTTTAAGATATTGGGTCACAAACCCTTCAATATCAAGGCAGCTTCTTGAATTTGATATGACAAAATTCTTTTGTTTTGGATAGCAACCATCAACTTCCGGTAGACAACTCGTTGGTTGTCGTAATTATATTTTGTAAACAAACATTTTTGTGCAATCGAGCGCATTAAATGTTACTTTAACCCTTTAAATATAGAAAATTATTGTTATTTTTCTTCAAATATCGCTTATTAAAAGTAAAAGTGTTCATTTATTACAAGTTTTCCTTCGCAAAATTGTCGTAACTTATAAAAATACCTACTAACGGCACGGTGGTTAGGACCTGAAAGGACAAGAACTTTTTAGCGAAAAAAAGTTATTATTTTTTTAATATTTTGTCTTGTTATTCATAAGTGAAAATCTAAAAGTTTGTTCTGATATATCCCCCCTCCATGCGATAGAAATATGTCGATACCAACCTCAAAAATCGGTAAGATTCAAAATATGAAAAGAATGGATAATAATCTGCTTGCATAAAAACTTCGTCTGCTAGGCATAATACTGCCACTGGACTGGGTCTTGGACTTTGATCTAAGGCTACGGTACTTATTTTCCTTGTCATAATTCTAGTATTATAATCCCTCATTCAGATCTTTCTATATCCTACAGTACCCAATATTAGTATTAGCCTTTGAATATCCAAAAGTCGAAAGATCTTTAACGTGCACTGTCTATGGCAAACGTGCACAGTCTATGGCAAACAGAGCCTCAGTTTATTGCCCCCTTGAATGAATAGATGCTTTTTCCATGTCACCTGGGTTAAAAAATACGAAGTTATCATCTCGAGCTATGCAGCGATTGAACCCTGGACCTTCAGGTTAGCAAATTCCTAACTCACTGAGCCATTGCTGCTTCCAAACGTACAGACAGCACAAATTGACAAATATAGATCTATGAAATAAGATAGGGTAACAGCATCTAAATAGATTTTTTGGGGTTACTGCACACTGCACATGAGCTTATCTTTAGTTTTATGCAGTAAAAACTGTTCCATACCCTAAAAAAGACGGCAAAATATGGTCATATCTACCATGCCTTAATCATGTCATCATGGTACAGAAAAAATTTCTAGGGTTACAACAGACTACTTTTAAATATTGATAAGTCAGTCTGCCCCTTATTTGCAAGTCTCAGGAGGCAAGTTCCCTTCTTCTTGGGAAAAAATCAGTCTTTGATTCGGTACTCATGATAATAACATGATAGAAATTCAGTTGTTTGAAAGTTGAAAACTCACAGTAAACCGTGGCTTAATATGTTTATTATATTCTTGGTTAATAATGTATTGTATTATAATATGTAAAATATATAGATTTTGATGAATAATCAATGGCATATGACATGTAGTTATATATCACTTGTCCCAAAAAAAAAGGTGAGATATTACCTGTTGAACTTTGGGAAATAGCCTACCTGTATCTTTAATCATTTTTCAATGATTATCTGGATAATTACTAATTATTCAAGATTTATCAAATTTTATAGAGGGATTTTGATGTAAGCTTATAGTTTACCAGGTAAGTCCATGGAAGAATAATGACTCATTTTGGCCAATCATAAGATTTTTAATTTTTGGGTCAGCCTTAGAGGCAATACTCAAAATGTGGACAAGTGATTCATATAAACTTAAAGTGTACATTTGTCAGTAACCTACATCTTATTGAATATTTACAATAAGAATGACTAATTAATCAGTATCTCTCATCATTAGCATCTTCTTGGTAGGTAGACTCGAACAGCTACTTGCCAGTGCTTCTATAGGAGAGTATCTTCTGTAACACCCAACACAGCTCACCTTTGTAGTGTACCAGTACTGATGACAACTCTGTACACATGAATTCATTCATTCAAATTTCTATCCAACAAAATCTTAAAAGAATTTGATTCCTGTTCCATATCATTCCATGAATAATCAAATTTATCCCATTATGAAGATATTGCATAAATGAGCCGTGGAACAGTGTCTGTTGTTGGTCATATTCTTGGCTAGAAGATTTGGGCATCCTAAAGTAAAATTTTAAAACTTGGTCAGAATTCAGCTCTAGTTGGTAGTTACACTTGTGGGTTGTAATCTCAATTGGCGTGTGAAAATACTGAGTCCTTGAATAAGTCATCTGTACGTGTTATTCCAGTTCACCCAGCTGTAAATGGTCACGGAATAGTATCAGCAGATAGAAAGGATCCTGAGTTGTGAACCTAAGTTGTTATCATCGTAAATAATAGATATTTCCTTCTTTCTTACTTTCTGTTTTTGTTAATAGATTTTTGAAACAGAAATAAATGCAGAAATCATATGAAAACATGTAGGTTTAACTCATTTTAAAAGTGTCTTTTTGATGAAAAAAAAAACAATTTTAATACATTTGTTGCAATAAGATTGTTTTTGAAAAATTATTTCTTAGATATTTCTACTGATTAGTGTTTCAGCTTTCAGAATGAAAAGTGTCCTTTTATCGAAAAAAAAAACAAAACAATTTTCACACATTTATTGCAATCAGATAGTTTTTGAAAAATTATTTCTGAGATATTTCTACTGATTAGTGTTTCAGGTTAGACTTAACTTAGACTAATTTAGAAGCCAGTTACAGTTTTCCCTGATAGATAAATAATTAATAAGCTACCTATAATGAAAGACAAATAAAAGGTAGGAGAGAAAAGTTAGGTGCAGATAAGATATCCTTTTAATTAGATTCTGATCATTAATAATGTAAGAAGACAATATGTTACTTTTACTGTCAGTTTACTTACTAATTACAATACTAAGGTCAAACCAATTTCAGATCATTGATTCTTTGTTTCTATTGGCTACTGACAAATCATTTGACCAATCAGCTACTAGACTTGAATGACTATGATTGCCCTACCAATGCTCAAAATATATTGATGTCATAGTGAAGTAATATTTCTAACTTGCGTTTTGTAGTGTAATGGATTTGGTTCTGTAGAAGTTGAAATTGAATATGAGTTCACCTACTAAACAATCAGGTAAGAAAACCCTGACATTTTTTTTTTTTAGTCACACTTACATGTAGGGCTGCGTAAAATAATAGATTATTGCCGCTGTGAATTTTTAATTTCAATTATGGATTATCAAATTCCATAATCAATTAATTGGGAAGCCATTGTGGCTCAGTGAGTTAGACGCTTGCTTGCAACCCGAAAGTCCAGGGTTCAATTCAGGCATAGACAGAGATAATACCTTCTGATTTTTCAACCCGGTTTCCCCCTGTCAGTGATGAAGGTAAGAGGGGCTGCGGGGCAAGGAAAAAGCGTCCAGTCGTTTTAATGGGACTAAAAACCCAGATCCCCTGCGCTACGAGCTGTGCAGGTTAAAGATCCCTCGACAGTTAGATAAAGAAAAAGAGTAGGCAAATGTCACTGTCTAACATACTAATATTTTCAGGTATAATTTACAATTTTTTTGATTATGAAAATGTTTTAATGTTTATGATTTACAGGTGGAATATATGATAAAGATAAAAATCAATATGGAGTTGCTAGGGTAAGTTTATATCAAATCTAACTAACTTATAATGTGACATGTGATATTAACATCTTTAAATAATATCTTGATCACAGTTTGTACCAGAATTTCATTAACACCTATTGCACTTCTCACTAACACCTTCATTGCTTCAAAATATAGACCCTACAATAAACACTTTTCATCTGATTTTGTTGAATCTAACTATCATGTATTTGTCAAAAAAGATATGTTGCTTATTTTCCACTTGCATGCATAAAGTGGGGGCCAGGTGATTTTAAAGGGGGCCCAGATAAAAACATCTTGTCATACTCCTTAAAACGATTCTAAAATACTCTGTTATCTTTTGAAAACAGTCATCAGAAGATGGTAAATCAACAGAAGACAGAACACCTCAAAATGGGCAACAAAGTGTTGTAACAATAACTCAAATACAATTTGGTCGAGACTCTACTCAATCTATCAACTCAATTTCTGTGGAATGTGATCCATCGATTTCTTCAACTCCATTGTCTTTACATGAAAAAGATGATGGGAGATATTTGAGCATGCATGAAATGATTCAACATCAAGATGATTCATTTTATCCAGTGTCTGACACAGATTCTGAAGCTAGTCATTTAGATACTCATGACAATGCTGATAGCAAGGGTCAGCAAGATTCCAAAATGGATGGTCAATCTAGTTCTCAGGACACACCTCAAATGCTTAGACCTTTTCAAGGCCACCAAAAACCAACATTAATGCAGGAGTCACAATCATTCCCATTACACAATAGAAGCTTGGGTTCTGGGCATCCAAGAGAGCAGACAAATGCACCATTTAGAATGGGACTGGTATCTCAGGAAGATTTAGATGAACTGGAAAGGGAAGAACAAGAGAAAGAATTGAAGGGAGGAATGATAGGTAAACAGAGCCTTCAGTTGGGAGCTGCTCTGGGACTGAAAAGCAGCATCAAGGAATATGAATCTCCTTCAAATATTTTGAAAAAGAAGTTGAAGCCACATGGTCCGGGTAAAGTTGAAACTGGTGGTTCATGCAGAAAAATTTCTCCTTTGGTATTAGCAAGTCAAAATGCTGATGGTGGAACTACATCTGCCTTTATAAGAGTAACTACTAAGAAGTTGGAAGATGAAGAAGAATTTTGTCATGTCGGTAAAAATGAAAAACCAGCTGTATCAGACCTTTCACTTTCACCTTCAGATGATCTCAGAAGAAGAATTTACCTACATGAATCAGTACCAAAAGATGGCAGCTCATCATCATCTCCAAGACAGTTGGAATTTTCAATCAACAAAAACTTTGATGATAAGGAGAATGAAAATTCAAGTTCCTCTGGAAAAGGACTAGACACCAATAAGTCTGACCTAACTGCTAGGACAATTGAATCAGATGATCAATTTCTCTCCACATCTCCTTCAGACCTCCTGAACAGATGCACTGATCAACCTACCAGCCAACATTCATCCATAAACCAGGATATCATATCATCTGATGATCTTTCATACATTTCCCCTTCTGAGTTTCTCGCTATGGATATAAGTGATTCTAAAGAAGCAT